AAGTACAATAAATCATGTACATGTTCACCAAAACTTTGAAAACATTTTATGTGCTGAGCATGGCTCTCGACGTACTTAACAAAACAGACAAAAATCACTTTCCTCGTTGAGCTTACAGTCTGCTTACTAAGAGTTTGAAGAATTATCTTTCCAAGGGTATGTATGTTTCAATACAGAATAGAAGTGCAGACATTCACCAGCAAGGGAAGAAAGTGTTGTTCTAACAGCTAGCTCTCCTGATGTCCCTAAAATCGTGCCAAATAGGCAGTTATTTCCTCTGCTTACTCCGAAGCCCATCTGTGGTCTGATTTCCTCTGTAGTTCTTTTTACTTCCTCCTGGAGTTAGTGGGGCAGCTCATCTAAGCCAGTTATGGTTCAGTTTCAAAATATATGTCCCAAAATATACATCTGTCTATCTCCAGGCCTTCAAATGGTCTAGGCACAAATATAATGTTGATTTTCGTACTGTATACGGGACAGAGAAGACTGAGTTGAAATTCATGCCATTCTACATAAAATAGAAGACCAGAGGCCCACTTCCTGGTCTCACACATGAATCATTTCATTTAGCTGAGCTCTAACTGCAGTACCATGTTGGGTGTGTGTTCCATGGCGATGACTCATTCCAATAGGGTAGGAGGTCAGTCAGTGAAAGTATTTATTGAGCTCCATCCTCCTCTGCTTCTGAGTCATTTTCTGGTAAAGTAAAAAGGTTCCCAGGGAGAATCTTTAACTCTTTTAGTTCACAAAACCTATTCCTTAATCTAATTTGATGTCTTGCTAAATAATCATATGGGCCTCATGCTGATACTTCATATTTTGGATAATGAGATTTATATTTTGGCTGATAGTGAGATAGAATTTGAGGGAAAAAATAGTACAAGGAAAATAATGTTGACCCTAGCCTGACCTTGAGGAGTTGTTTTAATAATGTATAGATGGCCAAGAGATTTGCAGAATATTATGGTTGGTTTTAAAAAGAAAAGGTACGCCGTTGCTCTTATGCAGAAATCTGACATCTGGCAGCTTCAGTCCTCTGGACCACAGCCAGAAAATAAGAGGCCTCCAAGCACGTAAAACAATAACGATTGAACACTCTAGCATGAACACATGTACTGCCTCACCACGAAAGAGTTTGTTAGCCTCTCATTTAGGGCTTGTTCACTTTATTTACCCAGGAACTCTCAGTCATTTCACTGGTGTATGTGTGGTCCGTCTGCAGCAGATGGTAAGCAGCAATCTAGAAAGAGGGTTGCACAGTTGACAGAGGAGATAAACTGATTGCAGAGGGGAGGCTGACATCAAAGGAGAAAAGGCTAGAAGTTGCCCAGCACTGGGATTATGTATTCCGTACAACAGAGTAATGGATGCTCTTAATAAGGAACTTGTGTCCATCAGCCAAAGAGTAAATCATGTTCAGTGTCCTGTGTTGAAGAAGGCAGGGAGCAGACAATGTGTCTGTCTTTTAGACATGTTCAGAACTCACCATGTTTTGACATGTTGAAGTGGTAAGTTCTATAGTGTTTGTATACTTGAAACAGTAAGTTCTTTGATGCCGCTGTATCAGTGACACAGATTTGAGCTCACATTTTGTAATAAAAACCAAAAAAAAAACCAAAAAACCAAACTCACTGCCGTCTAGCTGGATCTGACTCATAGCGACCCCTCTTGGGTTTTGGAGGCGGACCACTATCAAGCACCTTCAACACCAGCCCTCTTCAGGTGCTTTTTGACTATTGGCACTCTGGTTAAGGCTTTGGAGATACACAGATTTGGGTTCCTCTCCCATTTTTGACACTGTGTGACCCTGGACAGATGACCTTACC